TTATCTTTTATGTCTGACGGTTAAATTTGCTGTCTTTGTGCTATATCTAGCCTAGTTATGAATTCGTTTCCGGTGTATGTATTTAAGTTGAAAATGATTAAAATAGGCTGAATGATTGTTTATTTTGAAATGAAAACTTAGAAGAACTGATATAAACATTGAAAATTGTCATTATGGAAACAAATTTTTTTATCAAAGAATTTATATTTATTATGATTTGAAAAGCGCGATAGGAAATATTAATGGAATATTTTGTAAATGCTTGTTTTTTTATAATTTGTTCAACATATTGTTTTTAGAAATATTATATTTTCTTTAAAAAATGCCATTCTATTTTTGGCATTTTACTTGAAATAATTTCTGAAAGGATTTTGATTAAATATAAGTAATTTTAGTTTGTAAGATTAAATGATTTATAGATTATAGGTTTGATCTAAATATAACCAGAGATTTCATAACTCATCACTGGTAATAAAAAGTACTAACTCGTAGAATACCATTTGGGATTAGCTGCCTTAGTTAATCGATGGCATCTTTTCGAATCTCCCTTATGTTGAAAAAGTTAATAGAATTTTCAGACTAAGCATTTTTATTTGGTAAGTATAGCTTATTCAGTATTAGACGGCAACTTTCATTCAAGTTCTATTTTGAAAATGAAGAGTCTGTCAAAAATTAAGTTGAATAACGGTATAATAAAATATTTTTGATTACTGATTATTCAATTTTTAACCAAAATGACACTTTTTTTTCCTTTATATATATATATATATATATATGTATAATAAAAATTTAAAAAGTCTACCATGAACCCAATTGAGTAATTTACCTTAAAGAAATCTTTCAAATGTAAATCATCTTGGCTTGCGTATCATAGTTAAAAATTTAGTCGGCACGTTCTCTGACTCTCATAAAATGAAAAACTTACTCTGTGTGGCCAATTAAAACGGAAATAATAAACCAACAAATACAACATCCCCTCCTGCAAAACTACCTTGTATAATTATCTACTAAAAGCTCGACGGGGTATCGTGAACTATCGTGAATACTTGGCGATTTATGAATACACATTCTGCTTTGTATTCACTGTGTCTCCATTGCACCCACCCTGGTTTTTCTTCTTTTTTGCACTTTTTACTATCCACTCCCTCTATAAATGAAGACATCAAGAGACTTCTCGATAAGATTTTTTTAGTTACTTTTAGAAAAATCTAATCATTTGCAAATACGTGCTTCCGATTAACATTCCCTTTGGAGTGAGTTTCCAGTAAAATAGTAATCTATTAATTCTTGTATTTTGTTTCTGGGAATATCAGTCACCTTTTAACTTTATTCAAATGCAGTAACACCGAAATGGTATTCTTATCAAAACTGATAGCTTCTTTCGCCATCTTTTCTCACTAGTGGAATTACTATAAATTAGAGTTCCGGCAACTTATCCTCCGAGAATTTATTTTCAGTAATCAATTATGTTTTAAGGCTTTCTAAATGTACGATGAATTGATAAGTTGAGAACGCGGAGTAAAAACTTTTTGGCAGATAGCTTCGAGACTTCGATAAGGAATGAAGTAAAACTTATTGATTCATGTGTGTTAATCATTACGGCTTCTTAGTATCTGATTAACGGTATCTTTATGTATTCCTGTGCATTACCTGCGCTTGTCTTCCTATTTTATTGTGAAGCTTAGGATTTCTCTTCCAGGTGATTTTTGTTTTTATTGAACTGGAAGATTATTTCTATGTATGTCTTTATATCCTGCTCGTATTAAGGTTGTTGGTTTTTTTAATTGGAAGAGTTTGTTTCAATGGAATGAAGTAAATTCAAACTTAGTTGCAGAAAAAGTTTCATAAATTAACTTGTATGTGGGATATATCTTGGTTGACACCTACGTTCTTTCTTTTATGCTAACGTATTATTGAAAACATTTGATTCTTATTAATCTGTGGGATAATTTTGGGATTTCTTTCTTAGCAGTGTATATATATATATATATATATCACTTCGTTTTTACAGTTATTCGCCTTTCAATAGTAGTTGATTATGTAAGACCTTTTCTCGTGAGGAAACCCTCATTCATTAGTGGAATAAGACTAATTTTACTTCTATTTGTTAGAGTAAAAAATTAGAATCCAAAGTATTCTTTCTTGATACCAAGATATAATACCACCATTTAAATTTCATATTTTCTTCATCTTTCTAAATTATAATGGTATCATTCAGAGATAAAGGAATTGTAAATGATTATTTTAGGCGTTTCCCGATTAAATGCTCATTATTTGCTGACTTTCTATGTAATACGATCATGTTCTCTACCGTTTAACTTTCATGAATTGCATATAGATCGTTGTATTTAAATTACTCTACTCTGTTTGCCTTTCGGAACTCATAATATTCTGGAAAACTATTTTTTAAACATTAACTCTTTGCGGCCCTACGGCAGCTCTCAGACTCCGATTCTTATTAAGTATGAACAAAATTTAACCGCAATAAATTGTAAAATATTTTAGAAGTATTCCAAACACGTAGTGCCATTTTAAAATCATGAAAATCACTGCATGAAAATTTCCCTCTTGAAGCTGAAGAAATTAATTTTAAAAAGTATCTTTTGTGTTGTTTGAAAAGTTTTTCGGAGCCTAAAAAAAGCCTTTCGTTGACTATGAGGTATTTTGTAACAAAGTAAACAAGATCTTGAAATATATTGTTAAAAAATTAATCGTTGATTGTTAGTTGTATTTTGCAACTAAACTAATTAATTTTTATGGCTGAAAGCTCTGTTGAATTGCATGAAGGTTGAAATCAGAGATCTTTATCATCCAAAGTGATATTTTCAACATTATTTTGTGTTCCTATCGCAACACAGGCGAATTTTGAAGTTTTCTGTATTTTCCACTTAAACATTTTATGAGGAATTAAGAGGAAGGGATAAAGGCGTCAAAAATTTTGTTTCTTCTTGCAACAATTCCAAGTACTTAAAATTGAAATTTATACTTGTTGTTAAATAGCACTATTACAATAACAAACATTTTGGACGGTATTATTTATGCTTTAGTAACCAATACAGCGTTATGAACGGAGTATGTCTGGTCATATAATCTAATCAAGTGCAAAAACGCCACGACCGGCGTTTTTTACTCCACACAAACTTGACTGAAGGCTCTTCTTTGGAAGAGGGAACACTTCCAGTTCATTTTTTGAAAAAGGGTGCAACACTATATCGGTTAAGGAGGCTTCGCTGTTAATATTAAAACCATTACTTCCAGGAATTCTTTAATAAATCTATAATGAAGTCACATCAGAAATCGTTATTCAAACTACAACAGTGAATAATAGTCTAGAAATTGGGGTCGCAAGCGCAAAAATCAAATAGTTTTCAAAAAATGACTGAAAAATTCTAAAAATAGCTTTAATAATAATTGTTTGTTTTGGTGAGTTATGTTTGTTATTCTTTAGCGATGAATTCTGATACACTGTTAATCTTTTTATTATAGAATTTATTCTTTTAAGTTGCAGCGTATATAACTCAAAATAAAGAAAATATTAAGTGTATAAATAACATTTTGGCAAATCGGTGTCATTTGCCAAACTTTTCCCCTTCCTTTTCCAACTAAGAAAAAGGGACTTTTAAAAAATTTAAACTCTGTTTAAAAAAAAAAGTTCTTCAAATAACATTAAAAACATTTGCCTTCAAATAACATTAAAAAAATTTGCCTTCAAATAACATTAATTAATATATATATATCGTTTTAATTATTATTTTTAAAACTTTAGGGCGAATAACTCTAAACTTCTTGCACTTTATTAAATACCTATTTACCCCCTCAACATTAATCGTAAGATAACTCTAATAAAAGATGCGCAATATACTAACAGTCCCTATTTTCTGTCGCTATATTATGTATACTTTACCAGAAGTTCACTGTCGTACTAAATGCCACATTTATGTTCTACTCGTTTGATACATCTGACCTCTCTGCATGCCTCTACTTTTTATAAATATAGCTTTTCAGTGCTTTGAATGCCAAAATCTTTTACCAATCAATTGTTTCTCACGTGTGACTACACAATACTCCTGTTGCGAAGTGCCATCAAATAGTAAGGGAAATCTAAATTTCTTGAACGAAACTTCAGACATAAAATTCTTATTTTGAGGGTGGTCTTAAATTTATGTGACATGGTGTCTGGCTTCTGTTATCGTCATTTTTTCTTTTCGGATTTCACTTCTGGCTAAATCTCAGTGCAATCTGACCAAATTGCAATGGTAAAACCAAATTGAAAAGGAGTCACTTACAGTAAATTAACCCTTTGACGCAGATGGGACATCGGTTTTTATATATTTTTTCTGACGTTCTAATTACGAGCGAAATATACTTTGGTATGTTTTAAATTTTTTTAAAAAAAACTGTCTAAAAGTTACTAAAAAATCTGCTTAGATTATCGGAATTATATTTGTACAAATATTTTAAAATCCAAAAAGAAAAAAGAAAAAAAGGTAGTTTGTAATTTTTTTTTCATTCGTATTCAGAAATTTTATCAATAATTGATTTTGTAAATTACAGTTATTTATCATTGAAATTACTTTCTCTCTTAGATTTAAATAAGTGCAAATTTGAAAAATTATTGTTTGGAAGATATAATATCACCTTTAATACAGAAAGAGACCGTGGTGTTTAGCGCTGTAATTCATACCCATGAATTATTTAAATGCTAATTATAATATATTTTACTTATTTTGACCTAAATTAATTCAAAATAGGGGGAAAAATATGTTTAATAAGAATTCTGCTTCAAAGGAGAATAATAAGTGTAACTTTTTTCAAATGTACAAAACTGAATAGAACGATTATTGTAGTTCTGAAAAAAAAGGTATATGCTACTTAATCTCGTTCTCAAATTGATCATTCATATATATTTAACGTTATTATAATAATTTTGTTCTTAATGATTGTTATTTACAATAAAAAACATTGCATATTTTATTTTTTTATTTTGTGTCATTTTTTAGGATGCTGCTGCAGTGTGCAAAGAGTACATGGAACGTGATCCCAATAATCTCAACTTCACTGCTTTGTCATTTGGTGCCCTGTAAGTTAACTTTTATTTAAACCATACTTGTGTGTGAACAAGAAACTATCTGGGCTAATTACCTGTAGGTTGTTTATATAGTGTTATATTAAACTATGTGTAATATAGCGTGATAATATTTATTATTATACTATTGAAACAGGTAAGTATTCTTGAGTTTTTTATTTTGCCCCTCCTTTATTAAATGTATTAGATTAAATTTTCCCGAAAAAACTCAAACTCCATAAATTAAAATATAATAAACTGGAAATGAAGTTTAAATGATTTTGTGAATGTTGTTCTTTTTAAAAACCAAATGTCAAAGGACATTTTGTCTTCTACACCTTTCAAAGCTTGAAACAAACGCAGTGTTGTAAATGTTATCTAATAATTTCAATTTACCCTATTTGCTTCAGAACCAGAATTTTTGAATTTCAAACATTAGTTTTGCTCCAAAGTAAACATTTCTCAGTAGTTTTGTCTCTTCTATTTCAACCTGTTTGGTTCAACGAAATGAAAAATTTATTTTCGCTACAAAAATTGAATTTTTTAATTTAAAAATATTAGTTTGGCTTTTATCATTGCCAAATTTTTATGTTGCATTGAAAAAAAAGTTCCGATAGCAATTTTATCTGTTGCTCCATAAGTATAATAATTTACACTTCATTCTGAACTGGGAAAATTGCTTCAATATCAATAGAAATTGCTACTTCAACAAAATGACGAACTTAAAAGTTACTAATAATATTCATTTAGCATGATATTTAAGTTGTGTTACTAAGTAGTGTATTAGAATTCAGTTCTTGTAATCTTTTATTGGGAAGTGAATCAATTTTGTCCTTTCTGTTACAAGTGAATCGACAATCAGTTACCTATCTATATAAATTTGCTGTTTATAACTTTAAACTTTCTAAAACATGACTAATAAATTGTGGCTTTAAAAACATTTTGTGCTTGATATACTCCAACAATACAGAAAAAAAATTTCATTTTAAATTAATTTAAATCGTTTTTACACCCAGATCATGACTTCCTAAAATACTATTACAGGATTGAGGCACTAAAGAATTTGTTTGACTTTATTTCTTTTTTAAATATACTACAATAGACTTAACATGCATATGTCACCATTAATTTAAAATGAAAGAAAGAGCATTCAAAATAAATATTAGAAACAAAACTGCTATAGAAACGTATTGAAAAACATACAGTCCTCCAGTTCCTTCCCTTTTTTTTAACGAGCTAGATTTGCAACCTTTATTGGTTCTAAATAATTGAATCTCTTTATTTGCAATAATCTGAGTTCCGCCCGAATCGGCGTGGCTCATAGTTAATGGCCTGGTGTTGCCAATAACCTATCGAAAGCGTTTAGGAGATCCGTTATTGAGTTTGTTATCACACCTCGAACTATCTAAACACATTTCTCTTCTAAGGGGGTGCTTACGTCGTGACCAAACGATTATTGTACCTCTCGCCAAAATAGATATCACGACGTTTGGCACGCGCTCTCTTCTTACTTTTTGTATTATCTTTTTTGCCTTAATTGCATTTTTTATTGACTCAACATTCGGTCAGAGCGTCGTGACTCCGGCACGTGGACTATGTCACGACCCGACGATCACGATTTTGCCGACTCTTCTTCAATATTTGTGGCGATCTTCCGTTCCTCTTAAACTGAAAGAAGCCGCCTAAGGCCACATCCTCACACATTTTGCTTCATAAGTTGAATGGTTAGTCATGTAATTTATTTGCGCGCAGGTAAAGCTAATAACTAATTGGCATTTTTCTTGTCTCCTCGTGTCTTCAGGCTATGGCTATGCTTTTGACGAAAGTTGTAAGCTTTCCCATCCAGCTATGAAAAATATGTGATTGCCATTAGAAGTGAAAGAGGCGCGATTTTATTTTTATAAAGAATTACCTTTTAACAGTTTTCATGTCAGCTTACAGCTAATTCTCTTCAATTCAATTAGTATATTTTATTTAAAAATCTTCATTACTTTTAGCTTTCTTTAATTACCTTTCGTTCTCTAATGAGTGAGATTGAAATTTTTAACGTTTTTCAATCAGATTTGTAATTGCTAAATATTCCTAGCTTTCTCATTTTTCTATTCGTAGTTTTTTTCAGCTATTTAATCATCATTATATGGGTAGTTTTTATCGATATTATCTTAGAAAGCTTTCTTATTGAGTCATTAAACATTTACGTGGCTTTTTTTCCCCTAGACTTTGTTCTGTGATAATTAGCAAGGAAGATACGGCTAATTAAAGATTTAAATCTAGCCTACCTCCCAAGACAGTTGAACTTCTGTAGAGAGCGCTAAAACTTTAGTATCAAAACCTTATTAAGACTAAACCTTATTTAGAGGTGTTACATAAATATTTTTTTGTCATCCTGATGAAATGTTCAAAAATGAATATTTCCAAAATATTAAGGGCTTACTAGTTTGGAACCTTGTTTATTTAAAATCTTAACTTTTGTGTCTTTATATTTTTTTTACTAGACACTTTGAATGCATTATATTAAAATATCTTATGTCATTTTTTTCCAGGTTCTAACTATCTGATAGTTAGAGAGCTTGATCTTCGTTCTTTTTGTTCGTGAAATTTTTTGTCAGTGATTTCATTATGTTTATCTTTGTTATATTATTTTCTAAGGTGTTTAATATATCTCTCGATTGCCACTTAATCTGAACATATGGATTCAATAGATTCTATGCTCTTTAAACCCTTTGCGCTCGAAACAAAGTTAGGCTAAAAAAAAAATTGTGTGAAAGGAAAGTAGAAAAGATTAATAATGAAATAAGGTTAACAGAACTGTTTCATAATACGTAGGATAAAATAGAAGTTGGCAAAAAAAAATATATATATATATATATATTTAGCATAAATTTGCTACCACTTCATTACGATGTTTGTTATGCCAAATCTTCCAGCTAAAAGCTGTTTCAGCTCGAAAGCTCTGACTTTTGCATTGATTATTTCTGATTATTTAATGTCACTTCGTTAAAACAAATGAATCTTGAGTAAGAAGGGGAAGTTCTCACAATGACATAAAGTTAACAGAACAATTTGCATATCTATATACAGTTATTTACAAAATATATTATTAATTATTACAATATAAAAATTTCAACATTTCTTTTTTCGGTTCTTCTTCAGTATAATCGGCACATCCAATTCATATTTTTTTTCTCTAATCCTATTCCAAAGTTTTTAATAATGAAAGATATAACCCTGCCGCAAACAGCTTAGAGTGGTAACCTAGACTTCCATACGAGTGCAAAGGGTTTGTGGCCAATATCAGTGTCATTTTTTTAAATAAGAAATAACTATTGATATGCTTAAGTGTATTACCTACTGCTCCATTTATGTTTATGGAATTAAAAAAAATATTTTTTAATTATAAATACTTTTGAAAAAAATATCAAATATTACATATGCAAAAACTTTTATTTCAAAAACTCCCACGTTTGCAAGCAAACAAAAAATAAAACGAAATCTAGTTGAGTTTTCGTGAACATTTTTAAAAAAATTTATTTACGCGTTAAAAAATAGCTATTTATTTTAGCGACTCATTGACTAATAGTATTGAACTTTTAGGTTATAAATAAATATAATTTATTTATTATTAATAAATTGATTTATAATAAATAATGGAATAAATATAGGAATATAGAATTAAAATATTACAGTTGCAAAACTTTTATTTGCATTAGCAAAAACTTGTTTTTTATATACTCATTTGAAAATTATTATTTTTTAACTTTATATGTTGACTGATAAAATTTTGAACAATTATAAAAAATTTGTAAATAAATAAACTTTTCAGTATCATATATATGAACAAAAACAAATTTATAAATACTCAACAAAATAGAATACATATGCTTACACAGATATACAAACAAAGAAGATATATATAATTAAAAAAATTATTCAAACATTTTTATTTCATATTTAAAAATGAAGTTTTTTTTCCAACAGCAGTAGGGAAATAATTTCTACATTGCATTAAGTGTTGTATGCTTTTGTTGCTTCTGTAACAATGTTTGTATTTCTACTGTTAACTGCGTTTGTGCGACTCATTCCTGCTATCTTTATTAATTCTTTTATGCTACTAATTTTTTTAGTGTTATTTTATGCTGCATACGTAGTATGTGGCTTCAGTGATAGTAAAATAACGCAAAAACATAAAGCTCAAATTAACAAGTTCAAAAGACGTGTAGTATTATAGCCACCAACTCTACTGGATTTCCTAGTTTCTCCTGGTGTACTGGTTTAATAAAAATTCTCCTGGTTTTAGAATATTCCCTAAAATTGAGTAAGTTTCCTAAAAAATAACTCCATTGAAATAGAAATGTTACCCTATTTATTGCTTGCTTGAATATTTAAATAAATATTACTATTACACAATGAAACTAGCCTCATTTATAATAATCATTTTAAAGCTTTTTCTTATCCTTTTATTTATTTACTTATTTATTTCTTGTTCAAAAATGTGCATTTTACGCCAATCAGAATTGGAAAATATTTCAGACCATTTATGTTATCAGTGTGCTAAAGTTTTGTATTTCGATGACTATAAAAATCCCTAAAATTCCCTTTGTTTAAAATATTTAGTATATTATGCAAGAGTTGAAATGAAATTTATATTATTTCGTAAAATCTACTGGATTTTTTCCTATCTATATTGGCAGCTATGTAGTATGAATACACATTGTGTTTACACACATGATTCTTTTATAGTCTCGAAACTACTGTTTGTCTTTCGACCTTGTTTATTTGTAGATTTTGGGTTATTTTATAATTTTTTACTCAATGTGTAAACCTACTTAACATTTACATTTGCTTTAAGACATTTGTTCTTCAATATATTTGAATATAAGTTTATTTAACTACTATACATATATACTAACTACTATATATTTTCAATGCTCAATGGTAAACCTTTGTTAACTCTTTGTACTTGAAGTACTTTAAACAGCTAATTTAAATGATGACTACTTATATTTTATAAAACACAACTTATTGTTTCTGCGCTTAACATCCAGTGGGCCACTAAATAACTGGTGCATTTTATATGTGGTGACCTTAACTCCACCTTTCAAGGGCAAGGTTTATAATGCTGTGGATTTATTGAAAATTATTTGTCTTAAATCTCTTGTCTGAATACCTTCGTTTTGCATGATTTGTTTAGGAATGTTGTCGCCATTTGTAATGTTATTGTGTAACTATGCTGTATTGCAAGTGTTTGTACTCCATATTTTGTACGTTTTTTTATTCTACTTGATGTTGAGCAAAATATGAAATAAAGTTATTTCAGAAATTAGGTGTTATTAATTCATCGTTTTACATATTACAATTTCGAAAAATTGTCCCAATAGAAATAAATTTTTCTTTTTTTAAGTGGAGATTATTTGTGAAACTATTTTTTATATATATGTATATAATATAATATTCCTTTAAATCTATTTTTTTTTTAATTCCCGTGACTTAAAGCAACACATTTCAAAATGGTAAAAACTAAATTTTAGAACTATTGAAAAATTATTACGGTTCTTGTTGTTTTGATTATTAAAATTGTTTTCGCTAATGTTTAGACCTTTTTAACCGATTACAAATACCAACATTGGTCCTTCTTGCATTAAGCAACACATTTGTATATTATAGTACAAAAGATTTTATATTTCACTAATAATTTTTATTAAATAATATTTATCTATTTTTCAAAATTATCATAAAATTCTAATTTTAAACCACTAGTTATCAGCAAAAAATGTTTTGCATTAATGTTTGCATTAATTCTAGAATTTATGAAAAATACTCGTCAAATTTTTATTGAATAATTTCAAAAGATTATCCTTTAAAAATTAAATATTTTTAACCTATTTTAATATCTTGGAATAATCTTATTATAAGTTGCGACATTAACGTTTTAGCACAATTCGCTGATGTTAATCCTTTACTAATGTTCTTGATAAGTTGAGAGCTTTTGCAAGGTCAACTTCAAAAACCTAAAATTGTTCAATCAGAAAATAACTTGTATTAAGACAAATTTGTGCATGATTAGCTTTTACGATAGTAGAATTGTTAATAAATTTGACATAGTGTTTTCAATTTAGAAATTGATTTTATTCCGTTTTTGATAAACAACTCTTAGTTAAAATTCTAAGAAAAAATAGGTGCGGTTTGTCTTCTAGCATCTAAATGATAAGAATAAAATGGGTTTTTATATATACAGACAAAAAAGAAATAGTGAGAATTCTCTTTACGAGTTATGTTTATAAGTTAATTCTATTTTCTGTCTGTTAATTCATATGTAACCTTTGCAGTTCTTACAAACTCTTAAATTGATTTTTCGAAATTTCTTTTATAAAATATGGTAGTCTTCTGGTAATTGAATTAATATAAAAGAGGCTGCAAAATTTGAGTTTTTTTTTTGACAACAATTTTATTGTTGTTTAGAATTCACGCCCAGTGAAACAGATTTTAACGTTTGTGTCTCCCATTTGGACAAAAATACCAAAACAGCTTCCTATTTTACTATGCGCTTTTCAAATGCTGTTCAAAATATCTTTCCCTAAACTGTTCTATCTTGTCATGTTCATCTTTTCATGGACTAAAATTAATTTTCACACTTGCCTCTTTCATTATATGTTTTCTTTTTATAGCAGGACTCAGTCAAAGAAAGAAGAGCGGAGGAAAATATCAATTAAGTTTTGCGAGCCAGAAGTTTTGAGTAAAGGTTAGCGAGATTACGTGAAATTAAATGTCAGATTATTCGGCCAAATTTTATGACATATGACGGCTCATGTCATACCTGATGAAATTTTTGTCTTGAGGGAGTAACTGCAAAGTAAAGGGTACATTTTAGAGGATATTTAAAAGAAGAAGAAAAAAAAACATTTGCTTTCAGTATTTGGTCCCTTCGTTGATCTTAAATTTCGGAATACATTTTTCACTATTCTTTTGCTACCAACAAAATATTTATAATACGATATATTTATGTACCATTAGCGTGTTATGTTTCAAAGATGAAATCTCTGTTTTAATAAAATATTTGAAATTGCTTATGGTATCCATTTTATAATATGGTTCCATATTTTCTCAACAATTTAAATTTTTAGAAAGTCTTTTTTTTTTTCCTAAATAGATATATTTCTGTATTTCTTTTTCTTTCTGCACTAAGAAAATTTTTTATTTAAACTCAAAGAAACAATTATAAATCTAAAATTATGTTACGTATAATTTAATTTTTCTCAAAAAGGATGAGTAACTAATAGCCTATCATTAAATTATTATATATTTCAAATTTTATTTACACAATTGTATTCTTTTCCATTTTTATGAAAGATTTTAATAAACCATATGCAAATATCTGTCTTTCTAATTGAGGGATGATTTCGTGCTTTACGTATTTAAAAAAAATTTTGAAGTAGAGTGTTGTTTAAATGCGAAGTAATAATTTACTGGCTACGGAAAATAAAAACATTTTTAACATTACTGATACTTTTTACTCGTAAAACTTATCTACATATTAAAGATACCTACTTAGAGCAACTTTTTTGCGTTTTCGCTTGCATATTCTTTAATTCGCTTGCATTTCTTTAATCTACTTGCATATTCTTAAACTGTACATTTTTTTTAAAAAAATTTTTATTTATTTTTTTATTATTTATTAAGTTTTGGTCCACAGTGCTTGGAGCTTTAGACGATTATTGTTCACAAATTTAAAAAGAAATTTAATACAATTCACATGTTGACTATCGTAATACCTAGTACAAAAGAATGCAATTAAAATGATTCTGCAAATCGAAAAAAAATATTTTGTATAAATAAACATAATAATTTTTTTAATTTAAAAAACATGATGGGAAGTTTTTTTTTATTGTTTTTATGACTTTTGAATGCTAAACGTTTTTAACTCGTAATCAGCCATCTTGGTAATACTAAGGGTTTATTTTTTCTTGATGTTAGCCCACCCGTAAACAAGAATATCCTTTCTATTTAGCTTCATTTCATAGGTTGTGTTTATGAAAACTTTGATATATACCGTAACAAAAAGAAACAAAAAATGAGGAAAGACCATTATCACACATTTGTAATAGGTGACTAGGTGTAATAATTTGATACTCACCTTATTTTTATGACGTAGCTGGCTTTCGTCTACAATCAAATGTTTGAAGGCAAGCAAATTAACTCATTCAAACAATGATTTACAAAAACTCCAGTGTTGCCTACGGCAAAATTGTGTAAATTACCCAAAACTATCATAATGCTCTTAAATAGTGTACAAACTGCTTTTATACCTAAAAATACAAAGATGTCTTCATTTGTTGGTTCAGTACAAAAAGTAAGAATTTTTTTTTTTCATTGGACTAAAGTAACAATATATTATGAATTACGCTTGTTAAAATTTTCATTATTGTTTCCTCAGAGTGACTTTTTTTATTTCTTAGCAAAGTTATCTAGAAAATAAAAATTTCATTTTTTAAATAATGCTTCTTATTTTTATGCTCTTGAATAATTAAAAAAAAAAGTCTAATATTTTAAGTAAAAATTTGTTTATATTAGTAAGTAAAAAGAGTGTTTTAAAATGTTTTTAAATAAAAATTTAGGAATTAGGACTCAAGGAAGCTGTTCATTGATATAGCCTATTCGTCCCAAAATGTTTTTGTTTGTCAAAAAATAATTTGAAAACCTAATCCTCAACAATTTAAGCCAAAATGAAATGGTAAATCTAACATGTTTTATTTAAGGAAAAAGAATTATAATTTAATCCGGTATTATAGTTTTTATTTTAAATAATATACTATGACATAATAAAGTTCTCTCTTTTATTTATTTTATAAGTCAAAATCGTTTATTAGATCTTTCTTTATTGAATGGTCATTAATGGTGAATTTAGAGGGAAAACTATAATTTTTATACCAACCCATCTTTTTTGTATACCACCTAAGAGATATATAAAAGGCCAATAAGGACCCTTAATGAAATGCTCAATCAAGGCGTTTGAATGTTGGAAAGCTTTAAAGAGGATGAACAAAAGGATGATGACATCAAAAACGAGTCTGGAGACTTCAACGTTTGTGATTGATGAGTGATGACATTTATCGTAATTATTTTTTAGATCTGACGATTGGATATGTCTTAAAGCCGGAACTCGTGAAATTCAAGCACAAGTAATATTAAACGTTGCAAGAAAAGTTTTCTTTTTTACATTTTTTAAATCAAGAACATTTTTTTTCCAATAAAGATTTTTTTTTATTGTTAAAATTTTCTCCACGAAATATTTTACGGCATTATTGAAAAAATATCATTTATTGAATCTTATTAAAGTATTATAACGAAATTTTACAATGCATGCTGAAAAACTGTATTTTTTTTCCGATTTTTCATTTTTTTTTCAAAAGAATTTTTACTAACTAAATTTATTCATAATCTTGATACTAACATATTATGCACAGGAATTTTTTTAACAATTTTTAGTTTATGTGTTCTATAAATAATAATAATAAAAAAAAGAATTTTATAAACGATGTTTTTTTTTATTAAAACAAAAAGTTTAATAATATTTTAAACCTCATATTAAAAATCGTAACTAAACCATTCAAAAGTATTTCATAGAAAATGTTTTAACAATTAAAGTTTTCAATGAACAATAAAAAAACATCCACCTTTGTTCCATAAATATGCTAAAATGATAAATGAATTTTAGGTAGGCTTATATATTACTTAACAACTCCGCTTAACATGAAAGAAACATTCAATATTTAAATGTTATTTCAATAATGCTTGTAATTTTCCCCCTTACTTGCGTACTATATGAAAATGTCACAATTAAGAATGATTTACTTTAATATCATTATTAGCAGTATACAATTTATAGCATCGGTATTAATCGAAATTTGTAAAATCAAAATTCTTTATCTATTGAATCAATACTAATTTTATTTCAGTCATATTTTTAATATAAAAAAATAATGGAAGGATGAAAAAAAAATAGAATTGGCAAATGAGCTGCCTATAAAATAGTAAAAAGTATGTTTTAGAATTAGGGATTTAATAATGACATATAAAATACTTTTTTTCATTTACGTTGACGTAATGTAGGTTTAAATTTAACAATATTCTAACATAATGCAGCATTGAACTAAATATGCAATGAATATTTTTTATTGAAATATTTGATTGTTTTTATTTAAAAAATGCATTATGGAAATATAGCTATAATGAATAAAAACATAATGCATTTATACAATAGAAATTTATTTACACTGATAAAAGAAAGAAAATCTAAAAATAAGCATATATATTTCTAATAAT